CAGCACTGCTTCAAGGATAGCAAGTCTTTTTTGGCTTTGAAGTCAGCATGTTTGTTTATAAGCGATGAATAATAATCAAGAAGAACAGTTTCTAGAGAGGAATTATACTTTCTTGGGGGGATAACTTCTAGCTTAAGGTAGCCTGCTTTGAGAAGGAGCTACAAGAATTAAGTTTTAAATAACAGAAATCAGATAAACTTCTCTAGTAACCTACATTTAGGGGTGCATGTTCATTTTAAGTTAGTTTGAGCTGGTAGTTGACCTCTTTTATCTAGCATTAGTAAATAACATGCTATTATCTCTCTCTCTTAAAATGTGTGAAGTAGTGAATTACAGGTCTGAAATCTGAGCCTGATCCTAGATATGTGATTTACATTTCCTAAAGCTGTTTTAGTACAGAAGCCAGGACTAAGAGAGTTGCAAGAAAGTATTGTTGGAGAGGTATTGCTCTTGCATTGCTTGAGATTGGATTTTTTTTGTTATATATGTATATATATAGTCAGTTTGTCTGCTTGGAAATTGATATTCTAAGGTCATACACGTATTGAAGATTGCTTGGATCAAGTATTCATGAGCCCCAAAAGAGAAGTTAATAAACAGAATTTGTTTTCCTGACTGGTCCACTGTCTTTGTTGTAAATCATTATGTAGTGAGAAGATAGAAATTTAATTATGTTCTGAGTACTGAAGGGTCAAAAAGGTATTGTACAAATACATACTCCAAATGTTCATAGTGTTATCTACCTTATTATACTGGAGGAAAATCCCATAATGCAAACTGGAATCTTATTTTATTCCCTTGAACTCTGCCTGGATTGAACACCCCAGGGAGGTTGCTGTTTTGGTGGGTTTATTTACTTATTTAGTGGTGATCTTGGAGTTTGGGATTTTTTTTAGTCCTTTTTTGGTCCTTCTATCTCTTGAGCGCCTCTTTTGAGAGTACTCAGATGAATTATACTGTAGCTGAATGTAAACAAATGAAAACCTATGCTTTTATCTAGCTCTCATCATTCTACAAAATATAGAAATAGATGTGTGGTTGCAGTGAATCATATTTTGTGTCGCATTCAGTTCACATGGCTTAACAGCTGATTCATATAGGACAGCTAGCTAATCCTGCTCTTGGTGACAGGCTACATGCCAAGAAAACAGTCCTGGTACACTACAGTCAGAGTTCCATCTCTGCTGGAGAGTCCTACGACCTGTTAAAGGAATGATTTGAAACTATGAATAAATTGATTTATTTTAATTTCTTGATTGTTTGAACTTGTGTTCTGTGAAAGGAGCATTTGTATTCTGCTCTAGTTGATCCTGCTTCAGCAGGGGTTTGGGCTAGATGATCTTCAGAGGTCCTTTCCAACCTACACAATTTTGTGTGTCTGGGAAAGTGAAATGAGGATTTGTAAGTTAGTGCCCACTGTTAGCATAGGCAACAGTTTTTAGTGGGTCTGAATTTGGTGTACCTAAAATGGTTTTGTTTCCATGGTTTGCAATCAATGAAACTGATTATTTTAAATTTATAAAAGTACTTCAGAAGTAACTAAAATAGATTTAATATTTTCTGGAAACATTTTCTGCAGCTATACAGGGGTGTGAACATACTTACAAAAGCAATTGGGTTGCTGTAAGCTACTGAGTTGCTGCTTACCATCTCTGACTGCTCTGCTTCCAAAGTAGAGCATGTTAAAAAGGTCTTTGATTTAAGATTTGACATTACATATATATGTGTGTCTGGGGGGAAAAAAAAACAAACAAACAAACAAAAAAAAAACAACAAAAAAACCCAAACAAAACAACAATTCAAAAACCCCAAACCAACAACAAAACATATCTATAAAAATATGTGTGAGCTTTGCTGTTTTGGGGTTTTTTGGGGTTTTTTTAATTGCTCTAATAGCGTCATGTTGGTCAGTAAGCAAGACACGGGCTATTAGAGTCCGATAACTCCAGCAGTGAGATTGACTGTTCTTGTTCATGCTGGGTGAGTTCAGAAGCTTAATTTATCTGTTAGCACAGTCACTCCTATGCGAGTAACCTAACACCTATCCTTTATGTAATCCTTCCTTTGCTTCAGCCAGCTGATGAGAAGCCAGAAAGAACAACTTTTGATGGAACTGGATGTATGTTAAAGAAAGGGAAGGAAACAGAAATATGTTGGAAACAGTAGAACAGAATAAAATAGGGTTTTGTTGTGGAGGAAGTTTTGCTAGCAAAATGAAAAAATATGAATTAAAAAAATGAGGTGCTGCCCTTTGGAGTTTGAATGAGAGAAACGGGTTAGTAGAAATCTGGGTCAGTAGTTGAAAGAGTCTTACAGATGATAATGAGATTTAAGCCTTTCATGTTGGAATTACAAAAGCAATCATAATTAGGCACTTCCATGTTGAAAAATGTTTTTAAGGTACTCCAGTATTTGCACTATTTGGGCACTGTCTTTAAATTTGAACAGAAGCAAAGCAGTTCCCGGCACATCACCTAATTTTGTTGACTGATTGTGTCTTACTGAACCAAGCCAGTGCCTGGAATATCTTACTTTCTGGCAGTGGGGTTGCTGCAACTACAGCGCGTTAACTTAAACACTGAAAAAATACAGTAACTAAATCTCATATTGAGAGAACACTGTCATATACGAAATAATTGCTGAGGCATTCATTACATTAAGTCTGCAGCTTGTTTTTATATACTGCAGTAAGAGGTTGAGCAAGTGGTCTCCTGAGGCTTGGCATTCTGCACAGTGGCTTCCCCCCTCCTTTTTTTAATTTTTTTTTTTTAAAGCTAGCGCTAGCTACATCAGCGTGCTATGCAGGACAGCGTGCAGCCTGTCAGCTGACTCAAGTATTAGTTTCATGGTACAGGAGGAAATGAAGCGTCTGATTCCAAAAGTTTTCACTTCTTCGGTGTAATGGTGAGCATATCGTTGCCAGTTTTGGGGATTTTTTTTGATGTGATGTTATAATTAAGTTAAAGTGAATCTGTAGTCCTTAGATTTTGAGTATTTGCTACAGGTGTCTGTTCGATTAGCCGGTTCGCAGAGCTAAGCAAAACCAAGGCCAGCTCCTCCTCTGTTGCCCTTTTGCGGGGAGTCGGGGGGAGTTGGGAGTGGTATAAGCATAAAGTGAGGATTATTACAACTACATAGCCTTGTCCACATTGCTTGGTCCTGCTTGGTTCTTTCTAAACAATTTGATTTATGCTGGTAAACTTACTGATATAGGAGATGCCTTCTAAAGTTTAATTTTGCTAAGTCATCCTCAGTTAAGTATGTGGCATAAAGGTTTATATTTAGCCCTTCAGTGCAGCGATGCAGTTGAGGATAGAAAATAGCTTTCTCACTTGACTGCAAATAATTAAATTTTAGAAGTTAGCATGTAAGTCACTGCTTCAGTATATGATTTTTCAAGTGTGTGTTTCTGACAGAATTAAACAAGCTAGTTTCACTTAGTATTCCCTTTTCCATAATATTTTCTTGTGCTTTAGCAACATATACTCACATTTCTCAGCAATTTCTTGCCAGTAATCAGGAGGGATGAGAAACCCTTCGATCTTAGAAAAATGAAATCTTTGTACCACCACGGTGACGCAGCAAATCAACCTTTTTTTAATGCATTTCTGTAACTTGCTATTTGATCTGCATTACCTTTGGAGAGGATGCATATTCCATGACTACATGCATACAAGATCATGTCAAATTCAGGTGGTGAGATAATTATGTAGGAGGTTTGTTTTAAGTCTCAGAATCTCCAAGTATGATGGGGACAAGATGCTGGAGTCGTTATTGAGGAAACTGAGCATAAGACACAAGAAGCTGCACAGTTCTCCCTCATTACCATTCCCAGGTGTACAGGAACTTGCAGGGGACTCCTTGCATCCGCCTTGCTTCTTTTCGATGGATGCATCTAGCTGTGATTCCAGTTTGCAGTTAATGGAAAGTGCAAAGTGTACTGTCCAAGCGTGATCCCTGAGCATCGAGATACGAAGAACATGAATATCTATACAGTGCCCAACTCACCTCGTTTTCCTTCCAACAGGAATGGTCATTTCAGGCTGTAGGTTGGTATTTAGTATTTTGCTGACTGGAGTTCAACTTTTATTCCATTAAAATAGCACGAGGTTTTCTGCTATGGGGCAGTTGGGAGTATATTGTACTGTTTTGTGTGTATGTCTATTTTTTCAGTATTTTGCTGTTCTAGTGCTGTTGCTTTATCTAGAACTGCTTGCAAGTCTAGGCAGATAGTAAAAGCATAAGCATGTGAGAATAACACTGAGATGGGATTTAAAAGGAAGCTTGAGTGTACGGAAGGTTTATGTGGAGGAATAAAGGAGGAAAGTAGAGACTTATAGGGAAAAGGAATAAGATGTTTATTTTTCCCTCTGCTGTCCTGAGCAAACACCACAATGTTTAAAAAGAAAAAAACTGAACGTGATAAACTGGCAAACCTACGGGATAAGTTCTCCATGAAGATACTGTGGAAGTGTTTCTTCTCCCTCTCTGCCACTTACACATATATGTCTTCATACTCTTCTCCTTTTCACCTTCACTCCTAATTTCCAGTGCCTTTCTCACAGGTATAAATTATGCAACAAAAAGGGTCAGGCTTTTTTAAATGCATCGTAATGATCAATTGGGTCTTGAACTTTTATCCTGAGACTCTTGGCTAAATCCGAAGTGACGTAGTACGGTAAATATGACAGTGCAGAGTTTGCAAAACCTTGGATATATAATAATGCAACAACATGACTTGTAGTTTGAAACCGTTGTGTGAATTTATCTACGTGTTTCATGGAATCATTTTGAACTCTAATTAATGTATTTGCAGGAATGGATTTATATCTAGTTATAATTTTTGTTGCTTTTTAATGTGTAGTTACCATGCAAAAAGAAAAATACATGTCTGCTAAGATATGCTTACTGTATTGATGTCTTTCTGTAAAATGAATATTCTTTTTAACAGTAAGTGATGTTTTCTTTTTCCTTCCCCTGCTGTTTTTGTTGTTGTGCAGAGCTCTGGAATCGAAACGTTAGTGGAGGAGCTTTGCTCCAGACTGAAAGACCTTCAGAGTAAGCAAGGTGAGGAATGAATCTTTAAACTTCTAAGGCCATATATTGTGTTTATCAACTGTATAACGTTCTGAGACATGGGGGTGGAGAAGCAGGCTGTGTTAATTCAGTAGCTTTTAATACAGGCCGTGCAATTTTAAAATAAATTTGAATAATTTCATTCAAATAGTTTAAGGAGTTCTGTACTAGTATGCTTTGTTTACCTAAGAAATAGCCATTCACAAATGGAGTTTTCCTCATGAAAAGCTATGCCTGCTTTTTAAATAAATATTCCATATTTAGCATCTCCCTCCCCACCAAGAGAAGTAAAAATAAAGTAGGCTTGATTCTCTTCCTTTCATGTATTGATACTTGCAAAGAGTAGATTGGCCTCAAAATTGACCTCAAAATTGTTACATACTAGCCAAGGTGATGTTGACCATTTATTTTGGAAAAAAGTAAAATTAGTGTATATCTCACAGCATTTTTTTGGTACTTTACAGATTTTAATATAAAGAATTAGAACTCTTTAGTCACCTCTCACACAGGAAATATGCCTTTACATGTACCCAAAACACAGCAACTACTGCAGGGGTACTTCCTTTTAGTGAAATACATGAGACATTAGATGCAACCATTCGTAAAAATATTTTGTTAATTGGTTGATTTATTTTTTTTTTTAAATCTTTTTATATGTAGCAATGCAAGAAGAAGATAAGGATTTGGATATGAAATAACTAAAAATTCAGTAGGAAGTCTCCTAGTGGGGGCATTGCTAACCATGAAGTTGCATGCAGCAGCTAGCCAGTCACGTTTGGTGAAGCTTGCAGGGCTTAACAAAACAACTGTGGAAAACTTGAACCTTGGGTGGTAACTTAACATTTCTTTATGTGTAATAACCGGACTGTAAGTTGTTCTGTTATTTACAGTGTTTTATGGAAATTTACTACTATTACAGGTATACATCCTGGTGCTCTTTTAACAATACTGTTATAAAATACACTGGCTTTTTGAATTTTTCTGTTAAGCATTTGGGATTTTCTTCCAAAACAGAGGAGAAGATTCACAAAAAGTTAGAAGGCTCTTTGTCTCCTGAGGCTGATTTATCTCCCACAGCAAAGGATCAAGTAGAAATGTATGCTTTTTTTTTTATTATTATTATTGTCTGAGATACTTTTGTCTTTTCTCCTTTTACTCCCGTATTTTAATGCAGTGAAATTAACTTAGTGGGGAATCTGGAGTTTTGTGGATATTAAGAAATAATTTTTTTCCCTACCATCTTCTTTTGTTAATCTTATGTATTTAAATACGAGCATTTGGTACCATGGGCTAGTTTAATTTTTGGCAAAGTCCTGCCTACTTTCTTTTGACTATATGCAGAACTCAAACCAACACTACATTTTAGTCTCCTTAAGACCAAGTCAACTAGATAAATTAAAAGCCTTTAAAACAGCATTAATTGACATGTTAGACTTGCAGGGATAGAATCAGTCTCCTGGGTTTATAGAATCGTAGGACAGTTTGGGTTGGAAGGGACCTTTAAAGGTCATCTAGTCCAACACCTCTGCAGTGAGCAGGGACATCTTCAACTAGATCAGGTTGCTCAGAGCCCCATCCAACCTGACCGTGAATGTTGCCAGAGATGGGGCATCTACCACCTCGCTGGGCAACCTGTTCTGATGTTTCACCACCCTCACTGTGAAAAATTTCTTCCTTATATCTAGTCTGAATCTACCCTCTTTTTGTTTAAAACCATTACCCCTTGTCCTGTCTTGTTCAGAACTCTTTGTCTTCCGTTGCAGAAGTGGGCAACTGGAACTCTCTTATAACCTTTAAACTCTTTATAACCAAAGTTACAAAAACTCTTTATAACTAGTTACTGAGTACCTGAGACCAGTGTTACTGAAGTACCCAGGAGTTTTATCATATACGTCTCTTGGAGATATGACTGCTTCTGTATGTCTTAATCGTAACCATTGGTAGTAGCGGTCTAGTAGAAGTGTTGCTAAATGGATGATACTTCAGGGAAATGATTGTGCTAATTTAACTTAACTGACTTCTGAATGTTTTTTAATAGGTTCTCATTGAAATATATGTGATTCAGTATAAATCTCTTTACTGTCAAACACATACTACTTTAAACATTGCAGAAAATCGTATTTTAATTTTGTCCCTGTTGCACAAAGCTGTTAAGCATCTTAAACTACTGAAGAATTAATCTTTTTTGCAATAGCTTTTTCTTAACTGGACGATCAAACTGTGTAGAACTTAACAGCTAGTGTCTCATTTCGCAAAGGAGAATTTAAAATTAAATTTAGGACTGAACTGACTGAAATTCAGGACTTCCTCATTTATACTCTAAATCAAACATGTTTAGGAAAACTGTAGTGAATTGCTACATTATCTAATAAATCTGCAGTCAGGCCTTCACTGTTTTAAGAATCCACAATTTCTGTCTACAGTGAAATTCAGTACTCCCTAAAAATGGGATTGTTTTACTTGGCAGTATATTTTTAAGCATGTATTAATATAAGCACTTCTAAAGCTTCTCTTAACCTCCCCTTTCTTACCATTCAAATATACAGTGCAATGAGTGGCATGTGCATATGTAGAACAAACTAGGTTTTTTGGGGTTTTTTTTTTTTTTTGGCAATTTTTGGTTAGTATCTTGATGTGTTTTTAGTAATGCTTTCTGCTCTCAAAGCCTGTCTGAAGTTCTACAATCTGTATATCACCTTTTTGTTTTGCTTTCAGGTACTATGAAGCATTTCCTCCTCTTTCTGAAAAGCCAGTTTGCCTGCAGGAAATCATGACTGTATGGAATAAATCCAAAGTATGCTCTTACTCTAGCTCCTCATCTTCATCCACTGCTCCACCAACTAGCACAGATACATCTTCTCCAAAGGACTGCAATAGTGAAAGTGAAGTAACTAAAGACAGAAGTCATAAAGTATCTGCCACTGTACAGGAAAGAACCCAGCAGAAGAAAAGTAAAAATGAGAAAGAAAACAAGTTTAGTAACAACACTGTTGAAGAGAAGCCTGTTTTGTACAAAAAGCAAGTCCGACATAAGTCTGAGGGAAAGATGCGTCCTCGCTCCTGGTCATCTGGATCCAGTGAGGCTGGCTCAAGTTCTAGTGGTAATCAAGGTGAATACAAGGCATCAATGAAATGTATCAAAGTAAGACACAAAACAAGAGAGGTTCGAAATAGAAAAGGGCGTAATGGGCAAAGCAGGCTTTCAGTGAAATCTGGTGAAAAGGTTGATAGAAAAGTCCACAGCGGAAGCAGTAGCAGCAGTAGCAGTGGGTCCATCAAACAGCTGTGCAAAAGAGGTAAAAGGCCATTAAAAGAAATTGGAAGAAAAGAAGCTGGTGGTAATGATGGAAGAGATTTCTACTTAGACAGCAGAAATGAAAAGGAATATAAAGAAGAACCCTTGTGGTATACTGAGCCGATTACAGAGTACTTTGTTCCTCTTACCAGAAAAAGCAAGCTGGAGACTACATACCGCAACAGAGAAGATATATGTGGCGTAACATCAGAGGCTGTAGAAGAGTTGTCTGAATCAGTGCATGGTCTTTGTATTAGCAACAATAATATTCATAAAACATACCTCGCAGCAGGTACTTTCATCGATGGTCACTTTGTAGAAATGCCTGCAGTTCTAAATGAGGATATTGACCTCGCTGGGACCTCAATATGTTCTCAACCAGAGGACGACAAATACTTAGATGATGTTCATCTGTCAGAACTAACACACTTCTATGAAGTGGATATTGATCAATCCATGTTGGATCCTGGTGCCTCAGATACGATGCAAGGGGAGAGTCGGATTTTAAATATGATTCGACAAAAGAGTAAAGAAAAAACTGATTTTGAGGCAGAATGTTGCATAGTGTTAGATGGAATGGAGTTGCAAGGGGAAAGTGCAATATGGACAGATTCAACCAGCTCTGTTGGTGCTGAAGGGTGGTTCTTGCAAGACCTTAGTAATTTAGCTCAATTTTGGGAGTGCTGTTCATCTTCTAGTTCTGGTGATGCAGATGGGGAAAGTTTTGGAGGAGATTCTCCAATCAGATTCTCCCCCATCTTAGACAGCACAATGCTTAATTCACACATGCTTGCTGGCAATCAAGAGCTCTTTTCAGATATTAATGAAGGGTCTGGTATAAACTCTTGTTTTTCAGTGTTTGAAGTGCAATGCAGTAACTCTGTTTTACCATTTTCTTTTGAAACACTCAACTTGGGAAATGAAAATGCAGATTCTAGTAGCACTGCTAATATTCTTGGGAAAACACAGTCTAGATTGCTAATATGGACCAAAAATAGTGCCTTTGATGAAAACGAACACTGTTCCAATCTTTCAACAAGAACCTGTAGTCCATGGTCACACTCGGAAGAAACACGTTCAGACAATGAGACTTTAAATATTCCATATGAAGAATCCACACAATTTAATGCAGAAGATATTAATTATGTAGTTCCTAGAGTGTCTTCGAGTTATGTAGATGAAGAAATTCTAGATTTTTTGCCAGAAGAAACCTGCCAGCAACAAGCTAGAACTTTAGGAGAAATGCCCACTTTGATTTTCAAAAAAAAATCTAAACTAGAATCTGTCTGTGGTATTCAGCTAGAACAAAAGGCAGAAAGTAAAGACTATGAAACTACACAAGGGTGTAGTGAAAGCAGTCCACATGGAGATGGCTACAGCTCAGGGGTTATTAAAGATATTTGGACAAATATGACAGACAGACATTCTGCAGCGATGGTAGAAATAGAAGGAATAGAAGATGAATTGTTTTCAACTGATGTAAATAACTATTGCTGCTGTTTGGATACAGAAGCAAAAGTTGAAACCCTCCAGGAGCCCAATAAAGCAGTGCAGAGATCAGAGTATCATCTTTGGGAAGGTCAAAAGGAGAATTTAGAGAAGAGAGCCTTTGTCTCAAACGATTTATCAAAAGTAGATGGTGGTGACTATACCACACCATCAAAACCTTGGGATGTTAACCAGGATAAAGAAAACTCATTTATACTTGGTGGTGTGTATGGGGAGCTCAAAACATTTAACAGTGATGGAGAATGGGCGGTGGTGCCACCTAGTCACTCAAAAGGGAGCTTATTACAGTGTGCAGCTTCTGACGTAGTGACGATAGCTGGTACAGATGTTTTTATGACTCCAGGTAATAGCTTTGCCCCTGGTCATAGGCAATTCTGGAGACCATTTGTATCATTTGAACAGAATGAGCAATCAAAGAGTGGAGATAACGGATTAAATAAGGGTTTTTCTTTTATCTTCCATGAAGACTTACTGGGAGCTTGTGGTAACTTTCAAGTTGAAGAACCAGGGCTTGAATACTCATTCTCTTCCTTTGACCTGAACAATCCATTTTCACAAGTTCTTCATGTAGAGTGTTCGTTTGAGCCAGAAGGAATTGCATCTTTCAGCCCTAGTTTTAAACCTAAGTCAATTCTGTGCTCTGATTCAGACAGTGAGGTTTTACACCCCAGGATATGTGGTGTTGATCGAACGCAGTACAGGGCTATACGGATTTCTCCAAGGACTCACTTTCGCCCAATTTCTGCATCTGAACTTTCTCCAGGTGGTGGAAGTGAGTCAGAATTTGAGTCAGAAAAAGATGAGGGAGGTGTTGCCGTCCCTTCTCAAGTAGATGTATTTGAGGATCCACAAGCAGATCTCAAACCTCTGGAAGAAGATGCAGAAAAAGAAGGGCATTATTATGGAAAATCAGAACTTGAATCTGGAAAATTCCTTCCCAGATTAAAAAAGTCTGGAATGGAGAAGAGTGCACAAACATCGTTGGATTCCCAAGAAGAGTCAGCTGGGATGTTGCCAGTAGGAAACCAAGATCCCTGTTTAGAATGCAGTATGAAAGAATCTCTAGATGGGAGGGCGATGGAGAGCTCTAAAGTAAACTGCAGAATAGTGGAGCCACGTGAGGAGACTAGCAGGTTTTGCAGTTGTAAAGCAGGGTGCCATTTCCCCACGTACGAGGATAATCCTGTTTCTTCAGGAGAGCTTGAAGAGGTATGTGGATATATAAAATTATGGAATTTGCAGCTGGCAGCTGATAACCAGCAATTTGTCATGTGACAGCTCAATTTAAATGTTTGTATAGTTCTCTCGAAAAATACAGTTTTGTAGAAACACTGGAGGTTCCATCTGAACATAAGGAAAAACTTTTTCACTTTAAGGGTGACCTAGCGCTGGCACAAGTTTTCCAGGAAAGTTGTAGAGCCCCCATCCTTGGAGATACTCAGAAGACATCTGGACGTGGTTCTGGGCAACCTGCTCTAGGTGGCCTGTCTTGAGCAGGGTTTGTTGGACATGATGACCTCCAGAGTTTTCTTTGAACCTCTATCATTCTGTGATTCTGTGAAAAATTAACCGTCTTGAGGCATTATGAGGCATTTTCTTGCATACCTTTAGAAATTTTATGCATGTGTACACTCAAGTGACTTTAAAATCTGTTTACCTTAGGTTTCTAGCTTATCTGATCTACATATAATATGTTAAAATGTGCATAAAGTTTGCGTAATGAGATTACTGTTTTTGATCCAAACTTATTTTAAAATTTTGAAGAGGAAGATCTGAAGTCAGTCTTTGCAATATGAATTATAGTTACTTCCAAGTAGAAGAATTTGGAGTTGAATTATTGGATGTAAACTTCAGGAAAGAAGGTGTGTAGAAAGGCTTAATTGTCTGGAAATTAAAATGTTCTCTCATCAGTGTAGACACAAAAAGAAATAAAACATGGGTGCAAAATATCCATCACTACCACAGTACTGTAAGGGGGCCTAACTATAACCTCGGGTTAAGCTCAGAGTTTTCTTTCAGGTCATTGTAGCTATAGGTTAAGTAGTGAGCAAGAGCAAAAATCCCCTCCACCCAAAAATATCCAAGTTCTTCTTGCTGTGAGCTCCCTCTGCTTTTGAGAAGAAATATTTGACCAGCAAAGTGAAGGTCCTTGAATGTGTCCCAAAGAGGACAACAAAGCTGGTGAAAGGGCTAGAAGGAATGTCTTATGAGGACTTTGGGTTTGTCTAGGTTGGAGAAAAGGAGGCTAAGGGGTGACCTTATTGCCCTCTACAGCTTCCTGAGGAAGGGACAAGGAGGTGCTGATCTCTTCTCCCTGGGATCCAGCAACAGAACACATGGGAATGGTTCAAAGCAGCGCCAGGGGAGGTTTAGACTGGACATCAGGAAGCATTTCCTTAGTGAGTGGTTGGACAAACACTGGAACAGGCTTCCTGTAGAGGGGTGGTTGATGCCCTAGATGTCAGTGTTTAAGAGGCATTTGGACAGTGCCTTTAATAACATGCCTTGACTTTTGGTCAGCCCTGAATTGGTCAGGCAGTTGGCGTAGATCATCGTGGTAGGTTCTTTCCAAGTGAAACTATTCTATTCTGTTCTAAAATAATTTAGTTGCGCACCCAGAGATGTTGTCTGGATAGTTATAAGTTGGATCTTATGTTTTCTTTTCCTCCTCAGCTTCCTCTTGCACATACTCAGCAGTTGTAATATTTACATTAGGAGGAAATTTTTATCATTTTCCACTGAAGAGTTACACCCAGCTTGTGTTTGTATTGGGATTGTATACTCCCCAATTACAAGTTTGAAGCACTAATTCATGTATGGGAAAGCTAACTTTTTTATTGCTAAAACTAAAGATAACCTTTTTTGTTGTACAAAATCAGAGTTCCTTATTTTCCTTCTTCCCCATTTGTTTCTCCTCTCATCCTCCTTTAAATTAAGTGCTAGTGCAGCTTCTTTTCCCAGTGTCAGTAAGTTGATGTCTGCTGTTTGCATAAGAGAATCAAGTTTGTGACTTTTCTAGGCCCTTTCTAGACATCTTGGTTCCTGCTGCTCTGTTAGGTTAACGGGAAATTTCTGGGTTTGTGCCAGGCCTTGCAAAAAGAGTCACCAAAAAAATTAATAAACTTGGATTGTAAGTCAGAACAGATTCTGGAATTACCTTTTACCAAGAGTAAGCAGAATCTAACTTCCTCATGCAGTAGTACATAATGAACGAACAAATGATATAATACAGTTACTTATGACAGCAAGTCAATGAAGTTCCTTCCAGCCCTTTTCAGATCTCGTGCCCCATGAAGATATTTATTCTCATCTTCATTTCAACCACTTATCCATTCAAGAAAGTAGAGAGAGTCTGGTATATAAGTTTACAGTGGTTCCATAGTTTATGGTAGCCATGAGGATTGAAAAAAAACCTTTGGTACTGAATAGTGCTCAGAAAGCTCTGGTATTTTAAGTTCCTTAGTGCAAGAGGAGAACTAACTGCTTCTGTTGCTCAGGTTGCATGATTTTTGTAGGCATTTTTATAGCTTCAAAATTCTAAGCCAGCAACCATCTCGGCAGTCTAGACTCCAATTTGATTTGCAGTTAAGCTCTTCCTAGGGGGCTTGAGGAGCCAGATTACAACCTGAACTCAGAAAGGCTGGGTTAACTAGCCCTCCTGTATCTAGCGTGTCTCAAAAGGATGTGTGCACACTCTGGGCTTTCCTATGAGCCATTAGTGTGCATCTGAAGATAATAGGCTTTTTGGCTTGAGAACAATTATCGAAATGTATTATTGTAGTTAAGCCTATCTGTAAAGGAAAAGGTTTTTTTAAGCATTAAAACAATTTTAATATGTTGGTTACGAAGTAAACTTTAATCAGTAAAGATGATGACTATATCATGTGCAGTAAGGGAACAAATGTCATGCAAGTATTTCTTCTGTGTGCAAACTTTTTTCTTTTTAAGTGTGATACTATTTTTAAACAAAATCAATATAAAATGCCTAGAATTAGAATGGCTTAGGAGGAGCATTCTTCCTGGACACCCCACACATACATGCATGGGAGAAAGAGTTTTCACTTGAGCAGAGGCTGTGGAATTGACCGATTAGTATAGATCAATACGTGTAAAGGATATTTTTTTTAATTGAAGTTACTGTTTAACTCACTGTTGTCTAACGTAAAGTTTGAGTTGTGTTCTGATGTACCTCCAGTATTTTTGCATAAATAATGGGTTTGAAAATACTAACGCAGACCACAGTGTAATAGCGAAACATTCTGTTTTGCATCACATAAACTTGTATTATATACGTGCTGTGCAAACGCACATCTTTGAATACGTATAATGAATATTTATAAGACTGTAGGAGAATCTGGTTCAGATTCCTCCCTCTTACCTTCTATATTAGAGCACTTTTAGACTCATAGCAATTTTGCAGAAGGAATTGAAGTTAAGATTAACTTAAATTTAAGATTAATTATTAATCTTAATAATTATTAATTAAGTTTACAATTAACTTAATTAAGATTAACTTAAGACTAACACAACCATCCCCTAAAAACCCCCACAAACAAACAAACAAACAAACAAAAACCCACATCTGCTATACCTGCTGAAGTAGAGTCCTTTTTCTTCCAACTAAATGCTCTTACCATTCAGCTGTGGAATCAGGGTAAGTACACAGTCTGGTCCAGTTAATGGTCTCTCAATACAACAATGCTGAATGTCTTATCAATAAATTTTATATGGGCTCTGGTATAGTAGGTTTGCCCTAAGAATGCTTATACTATTGAGTCCTTGACATAGATTAAGGGACCTGTGGGTTTTGTTGGGATTGGTACAAAACTTTTGAAGTCTCAACATGCCTACAACAATGCATTTGGGGATGAGGAAATTTTACTGGCAAAAATCGTAAATGTTTATGGATCTCATGACTTAATTGGCCTATTAGATTTGGTGAGGTACTTTGCTTGACTGAAGTAATGCAATGTAAGTGTAGAACTCCTTTAGGAAGGGCCATCAAGAGGAAGGGAAGAGAGGTGCCTTACATACATTGGTTCTGATGTCAGTAGTGTAGGAGATAACCTGCCATAAACCTAGGTGGTGATAAGAGGGAGGCAAAATGCAGAGGAGTCTGCTTCTTGCCTTAAAATCAGGAGAATCAAGTGGGGAAAACATTCAAGAGCATGTAGAGCAAAGGACTTCATTGTAAAAGAGTAACTTTGGGGCTGTCTGAGAAAGGATTGGTCCAGATGGTTTTTGATAGGTGCTGATCATGGCAGGTAACGAAAACACCTACAAAGACTCTGAGCTCTAACTTTCTAATTAATAAGACATTTATTTGCTGAGATTTTGAAGGATGAAAGTATCTTGCATGAGAGAGACCTTAAAAAGATGGAGTTCGCAATGACAATATAAAAATCATGAGGAAAAAACCCAAGGTGTAAACTAAGCCAATAAAATACAGATGTCCTACACCTGAAAGTCCTAGAAGTAAATCAGAAACAGAAGAAATGACTGAAGGCTGTGTCTGAGAGACAGAACTAACAAGCTTGGAAAGCTATGAAAAAATAATGTCAAAAAGGTACTGTTTAGTGCAGGGTTTTTTTTTGTCGTCTGAATTGATGGTGAAAAGACAATTAAGCAAAGGAGTAGTACAGGTAAATTACACTGTTTCAGCTAGTCGTAGGAATATTCAGCTAAATATCGTGAGGAGGAGTGACTAACTTGAAAAAAGCCTAGTAGAATACTTGTTTGAGAACACGTAGAAGATGTGAAGGGAAAAGGGAAACGTGTTTGCCCTTATATATAATTTTCTGGCTTTTTAAAGAGGAAAATGGAACCTGATGTATTACCAATGACTCTCTTAAAACATTTATTTAGGAAATTTAACCAGTAAATAGCATAGATGCACGAGAAAGTGAGAAAGTTTCTAAGTATTGGCTTGACAAAAAGATTGCACACTCAAAGTAACAGTCAGTGGCTTACTAGAGGAGAAGGGAGATGACTAATTTTTCTGGTCTAGGGAGTAAAATAGATGTTTGTGGAAATCCTTGATGAAATCAAACTGGAAAAGTCTGCCATTACACTGGAAGACAGGATTAGAATCAAAAGGTGGGTAAGTTGGAGAGATGGTCTGAAAAATAAAGTGCAATCCAGGAGGGAGAAATACAAACTTCTAAAGAAAATAATAATCTTTTTCACAAACACAGTGTGAGGAGTGACAG